AACCTTTGTGATTGCAGTGCAGTTTCTTACCACTACGCCACCAGAGTAGGACTTTTTAATAAATTAAAAGCTAAAATATTATTATTATTTTTATAACTTTGACTCTGTGAAATATATAGAGAATTTTATTCCCTCGCTATTTCCCTTGATCCATCAATTTATACTGAGCAGCTAGTGCAAATGACTGAAGGCTCAGCTATTTGCAAAAAGGTTGGTTGGTGGTTTGAAACTACTGCCTTGGAAGGCAGACCTGGTGATAACCTTCCACATGTTCACAGCCTTGAAAATCCTACGGGGCAGGTCTGTTCTGCACACATAGGGTCCCCACGAGGTGGAATCAACAGCAACTAACAACAACACAATCAGGAGACATAATCCTGAGAATCTCACAGAGTGCCTCCTTTCATGAAGAATATTCTCTAATGGGAGAAACAATGCACGTCAGTTAATATAGAGGATACTAAACTGTGAAAAACCGCTAAGGCTTTCTATTAGAGAACATTCTAGAGACAATAACTCAGTCATGGTGGTCAAGCAAATCTTTCCTGAGGGAGTGATGCTAGACTAGAAGTTAAAATACGGAATAAGAGTTAGATAAACGTAGTGATGGAGGGAAACAGGATAGGGAGAAATTTGTAGAAATGCCCACAAGAGTACAACTACTAGTCTCTTCCTTTCAGTACAACAAAGAGAAAAGCAAAGCCAAACTAACTACAATTTCTTCTAAAGGATTCTTCTTGTTGTTATTGTGTACTATCAAGCCAAAATTGATTCATAGCTGGTCCTTCAGCAGGATCATAATGACCAAAAAAAAAAAAATTTATAAACTAAAATATAAATGAAGGGTACTTCAGTACTTTAAGAGATAAAAAACCAACCGAGTCAAACCAAACTCATTTTCAGTGAATCAATTCTGACAGCAAATCTACCAGCTGTTCTGTGAGAGAAAGATGGTTAATCTCCTCATGTGTGATTAACTGCCTATGAAAACTGCTGGGGGGTCAGCTATGAGGCAGTTCTAACGCAAAAGCACATCACAACAACAACAGGATAGAGGAGAACTTTTTCACAGGGTTTCAGAGATTATAAACCTTCATGGGAGCAGGCTGTCTCATCTGTCTCTTGTGGAATAGACTGTGCATTCAACTGATATCTTTGGTTAGTAATTCAACTCTTAATTCACTGCACCATGAGAGCTCCTTTCAGAGATAAAGAAAGTCTGTCTGCTAGGGAAGGGGGGTAGTGATCTACATAGCAAAGAAGGAATCAAATTGTTGGAATGGTTTTCTGTCTGTGGGATACAAAAGATACTGCCTGGTGGGACTGGCTGAAGGTGATGGTCTTCCTTAGGGCAAGCTTTCTCCCACAGAGTCTCTGTGGGGCTTGGATCACCAGCCTTTTGGTTTAGCAGTCTAGAGTTTAATCGTGGACTACTAGAAATATCTACCATAAATTATAAATAGAAAAGTTCAGTGGGAAATTAAAAATATATTGATGGGTAGCTATTTCAGAAATTATTTATCCTTTGAAAGAAGCAATATAAAATACCGAGTGGAGCAGTATTTCCTGCACTTTAATATGTGTGCAGATTATATGGGTGATCTTGTTAAACGCAGAATCCTGGTCTCAGACTTAGTATTCTGATTTAGTAACTTCAGGGTAAAATCAATCCAAATCCATTCTCACTGAGTTAATTTCAATTCAGGAAAACCTTCAGTTGGGTTTCTGAGGGTGCAAATCTTAATGAGAGAATGCTATTTCTTCCACTGAGCAGCTGGTGGATTTGAGCCACTAACCTTTCAGTTAGCAGCCCAACACTTAACATATCACACCTAAGGGACCCGTGGGTTTGCGTTTCTAACAAACTGCCAGATGTTGCTGACGTTGCTGGTTTCTGGACACTATATTGAGTACCACTGACTTAAATGTTTGGCATCCAAATTCCTAGACTTAAATCCTACAATTTACTAGTTTACTGGCCCTCTTTATGCCCCACCCTCCTATTCTGTGACATGGTAATGCTAGTGACCTTTGGAGAATCAGTTTATCTGTAAAACATGCCATTCTCAGTAATTGTCCTGTATTACACTTTTAAAAACAGAGCGTTGTAGCGGGAGTGGCATCCACTTCCTAAACAACATGCCTCCAGAAACTCTATGAACTTTGATAAATGTCCATAGTTGTAGAGGGGCTTCAGGCCTTTCGTTCATAGAGTCATGCTCGACTCGAAGGCAATCAGCAACAATTTAATATTACAATAAGAACATAGATTTTCAGAGATCGGAGTTGTTAAGCAACATGCTTAAGTTAAACCTAATGTATACCTGTCTTGGTAATATTGATATTTTCATCTCAAACAGATTAAAAAACACTCAAAAGAATAAAAATATACCTTACTATGATTAAATCAAGCTTTAAAGGAGGAGTGGCAGCCACTTCTGAAATAGCTTGCCTCCAGAAACTCTATGAATGTGGAGAAATGATGAAAGTTAACCAAGTGTTCAGGTCTTTCGTTCATAGGGTCACTATGAGTCATCTATTACTCAAAGGCACTTAACATGTGCAACAATGAAAAATAAGATAAAATAATTACTTATGTTAAAAACAGTATAATTGCTATCTGTGAAAACTATATAGAATTAAAATATCAGTGTTTTAAAAAATTTTTTGGAACATTGCTGTGTTCATTTGTTTAGATGACATCCGCAGATGCTTTTTTTAGTGCTCATGATACAGGTTATGGGGCTGCAAGGCCTAAAATATAGACTGACAGGTTCTTTAGTTTAAAAGGTTGCTAATTCCTGGGAGCTCTGGTGGCCTAGTGGTAGGGAGCTGCAACTACAATCCCAGAGGCACACTGTTCGAATCCACCAGATGCTCTGCGGGGGAAGGAGGGACAATCTCCTCCTGTACCAGTCAGATCTGATTTGATGGTACACTCACACAAAATCATTGCAACTAGAAGCACCAGTTCCCCTTGCTTCTAGGAGCCATAGTGTTCAACTACTGTTTCTTATCATGTAACTATAAAGAAGTCGTAAATACTAACAACTAGAGAAATTTAGAAAGAAGGTATATTCGAGCCTCATGGCAAAATGGGATGATTAGCATCAAACTCTCCAAATCAGGAAATGCTATTAGATGTCCCAACCCACTTTTCAAAAACCACAGTATTTATTGTCCTTTTTCTCATCATAAAAGCAATATATGTTTATGGCATCTGGAAATACAGTAAATAAACCAGTCACATTCCCAATATTAGAGAGAACCACATTTAAATATCTTTTTTTAATATAAAATTGGGATGTTACTGTACAAAATGGTCAACTGTTTTCATTGTTAACCCTGTTCCAACGTCCTCCTATAGTCGCTAAGAACATCGGTTGAATGGTTAGTGGTCACTGTTAGTGGTCTGACACAATTCTTATGATTTTGTCCTCATTACTTGTTATTTGTTCAGGTTTTTGTTAGAGGTAAATAATGCCGTAACAAACCTGGATATAATGTTTTCAAGTCTGTGATGTTTCAATGCTATTAAAAATTACAAAATACATATTTTGTTTACATTTGGGCTGCTTTCAAGGGGTGGAAGAAAGCAAAGTTCAGAGACAAAGGGTGATCTCTTATGTTTTCCAGATTTCTAAACCACACCAATTTGAGAAAGTTTCTACCATAGGACAAATAATATTAAATGACTTTAAATGTTTCTTTCCTTCAATCAACCATTGCTTTTTCCTCTATTCCCCCATTCTTAAATATATACCATTCCAACCTCAGAATGATTTTTTCAATTCCCCCTTCCCTTAGAAAAAAAGGCAAGGATCTTATCAAAAATATTTTATTTACAAATCAATTATCCATCCTATGCTGGAAATACATTGAATAACTGCTAAAATAAATACAGGCAATTAATTCAACCTTTCATAAGAATTGAGAGAATTTGACATTTGTTATCAAATGTTATCAAAACTTAACTTAGAACATAAATAGGCAAACTCAAGTTTTCGACGCCTTTGTTGGTGTGGTGTGTTTGTTTCCCCGCAAGCTCTCCAGTCAGTGGGAGGCTGAGGTTCACAACATGATGTACATTTGTGTACTTTGAAGGTAGAATGTGCAGATTTTTTTTTCTTAGGCAGGATTGTCTTAACATGGATATCTGCATATAAAGGAGGCAGAGAGGCCACACACCCTGTAAAACACTTCTCCACCTCTCTGCTCCAATGCCATGCTTTACATGCAATTATTCATGTACTCCCAATTGTGTTTTCAACCAGGTCTAAACAGCACCAGCTACAAGGCAAGATCAGTTGTGTCAAAAGTCCAACTGGATACACAGGGCCCTGGGGTAACTCGGCCAAATTCAGAGTACCTGGCCTATCAGTTTTTCTATGTGCCAATTCTTAATAGAGCGACTAAACCTTGATATTATTTCTACTGTGTAAACATATTTATGTAGGCCGCAGCCAGGAGAGTTGAAGCAATTATTGATATAATTTAGAAGAAATCCTCCCTGGGAAGTAAAAGAAGGCACCTGGGGCTGGAAACTGTCAATTTTAAAATCTGTTTGCTTTACATTTATTGTAATGTACGCAGCTTTCCCATGTAAACGGCATATTTAATATGTAAATTGTACTGACAAGCCAAAAGTGAGACAGATAAATGTATGTTCAGCATACACACAGCATCTGGAGAACTCAGGCCATGAAACAAAGCCTTTCATGCTGCATTGTGTTAGCCCAAATTGTATAGATTTTTTTTTCTCTCACTTTTCCTTAGCCTGGGACAATATAGCTAGAAAGTCCGGGGTTTATTGTGTACGGTGATGGTGATGAAGTTTTGTTCAGTGCTAACATTCCTGGTGTTTCCTTTCAGGAATTAGCATTCCCTTTTCTTTTGTGAAAAATTGCACTTTTCTAACCCTTTGGCCTTGATTTTCAATTTTTTTTTCCTTTTTTTGTACACACATAAGAATGTACTTCTACTCCCAAAGTATAACAGTCATACTGGCCTTTTCTAAAAGGAAATGTTTTGTTAAGTTAAAAAAAAAATTCAAAGTTTTAAATATTTTTTTTTCACAGAAATAAACTATTCAATTTTACAAGGGTGTAAGAGAGAAACATTTTATTCTTTCTATCACGAACAACATGATTCAACCAAGCTTCACATTTTGGGCAGGTTTTTTTTAAGTATGAAATTTTTTCAAAACCTATTTATTTAAAAAGAGGAAGAACAAGTGTATTTTGGCAGAGAAGTAAAATATAGAATATGCAAAATTTGTTTTAAAAATTGGCATACAAAATTTTAAAACACAGTACAGTTATATAAAAATACAGCACAGCCAAGAGCTCTTAAAAATTCCTTTGGCATATTCATTTGGTAGAGATAAAAATCATTCCTAAAAAAAAATAGCTATCAAAACAGTCCATAAGTTAGGTTGTAAAGGTTGAAAGACTTTTCCTTGAGTTCTTAAAATCCTTTTCTTCCATGTAACCCACATAAAGCATGGCTAGTGAGGTATATAGGGCAAACACTGACAGGCAAATGCACAGTAAGGGAAAAGTGCATAAACAAAAGCCCTCCCATTTTCATAGGAATTAAAGGCTACATTTGAGTTTCTTCCTGTTTGATGGATCATTTTACTTTGGCAGAAATCAACATTAACCCATAGCAATGTTTTTCTTCAAGTCTCAGCAGCAGTGATATGTCTCCTTTGGTGGCATTTATCTGATGTCACAATACCGTCGCGTTCCTAAAGGAATCCTAAGGTGTTGTGTGTCTGTGTGTGTGACAACAAACTTCCGACCACGCCAGATCATACATCAAGCACCATGTCAAACTGTTGCCCCTTCTTCCGCCTGCCACACTTATTGACGAGAACCGCATACAGCATCAAAAGCATGACCCAATAGCATGCGTAAACTAACGCGCCAATGATTAGAATGTTCTGTTTGAATTCTGTGAATGGCTTTTTAGATTCCTTGTAAATGGTGAAAATCACACCACCCAAGAGAATTAGAGCCCAAACTGTGACGGGAATGAGTCCTATGAAATTAACAACGATGGTTTTCCTTCCAGATGTGCCCCACCCAGCCTTGTTTATGGTGGTGATTGCAAACATCTTGGCAGGAAGTAAACTTGACATGTACAACACTGAGTAGAGGGACATGAAGACCATGACAATGTTTCCTCTAAGGCAGCTGGCGAAGGAGGCTTTTATGAGACCCACTAACTGGACAATTAATAAGAAAAGGAGGATGTTCCAAATTTTTCCTCGGTAGAAGAGCTGGATGACTGTGGCAATAAGAAAGAAAGGGAAGAATCCAGTGATAACGGCTTCATAGGTCATCCACAAGTGATGTTTGTGGAACCACATTGCATTGTACAGCCACTCTCGAAAGTAGGACTTGCTCCATCGGGTCTGCTGGTTTAACCACCTGAGATAGGCTGTAGGGGTTTCAGTAAGGCACTTGGATCGAGCTGTGTATTTTGTTGCATAGCCCAGACTCAGCACCCGGTTCGTAAGATGTCGGTCATCACCAAAACTGCATTTGTTGCCCATGAATTCCTGATTGTACCAGTCTTCTACAAACTCATTAAGCAAGGAGTTTCTGTACATTCCCAGAGGTCCACTGATGCACTGGACGCATCCGAAGTAGGACTGACAAGCTCTCTCTATGTTAAATGCCATCCAGTATCTCACACTGCTGAGGAAGGAGATCCAGGAATCATACTTGTTTAAGATCTGCGGAATAATAAACAAACAGAATAATAAACAAACTCTCCTGTAGATTTTTAAGTCCTACTGTTTCCGGTTCTTATATTCCAGCTTATCCAATTCTAAGCTATTAGTTTTCCTTTTACCTCCTCCACCCTTTTCTGCAATGTTAGTGTCTAACAAATTACAAATCATGATCTGATCTTCTCTAACTAAAAGTCTGTGAGAAATTACTAGTTTTCTCTTGGCTACATTTCCCAAATTCTCTCTTTGGTCTCATTTTGATCATGTGAATTTTACATGTTCTCATTCCTTTTGTTGCCAGGCTATTTCTCCATTTTCTCTAGTGTTTGTTTTGGGTTTTTATATTGTGGTGATTGTTTTATTTGGTCATGATGTTTGGTTTTTACATGCACATACAACAACTTAAATTCAACTCAACTTTCTCATTATGCTAAAATCCAATTTCATATTTGCAAGGGACTCACTTTGTCACCCCCTCCCTTTTTTTGGGTAAGTGAGAGTTGAGATTTACAGAGAAAATTTCTTTCAACCATTAATTCACATTTTGCCACCTTATTCTACCTATTTCCGTCCTTCGGATTCTCATTTCTACTAATGCTTCTATCATACTTTTTCCTGTTCTCTAGGCTTTACCCTTGGGCAAATATTGCTCTCTTGAATTCTGAGTTTTATTCTAAGGATTGAGAACAAGTTCTAAGGAGAAGGACTATAGGTTCAGGGCTTGCACCTTTCTCTATCAGGTTAAACCAGGCTGCTCCTTGGAGGCAAGGATTCTGAAGCTTCATCTGACATACCCTGGACATGTTGCAAGGAGGGTCTAGTCCTTGGAGAGGGATGTCATGCTTGGGAGGGTGGAGGGACAGCACAGGAGTGGAAGACCCTCTATGAGTTGGATTGATTCAGTGACTGGGGTAATGGGGGTAGATGTGTCGGAGACAATACGATTGGCACAGGATAGATTAGGGCTGTTGTACATAGGGTCGCCATGAGTCACAGGCGATTTGGCGACACATAACAACAACATACTAATATAAATGTAGAAATATCATTTGCCAAACTGATGTATGGCCTTTCACCTGTCTGCTTCCTTACTGCTTACGTTACTGTGTACCGATATATCAGCTTGTACATTAAGGTTTATGAATATTACATACATATAGTATTTATATTTGCTGACTGTATTTCATGCATACTTCTCAATGTCTTCCCTTTCTTTATTGATATTGTGCTAGGAATACACTTTGTCACATATTTTCATCTTTTTTTTTCTAGTCCCAAAACTATATAAATTATCTTTATTAACATTTTTTATTGTTTCCTCACTGATAAAAAACAGTAAGTTATATTACTTAATAGGCACTTCTTTGCCTTTCTCAGTAGGATGGACTTGTTTCTCTTTTGTTTTCGAATTTGTTTTTTTTAATCAATCACCTGTCACTTTTTAAACCAAGGGTAGAGAGTCTCTTCATGCCGTACTTCCATTACATTATCTGTGCACCAAGTAAATTTTTAAGACTGAATTGTAACAGAATATTTTATTGCTCAAAGAGATGTGGCAGATTCCTTGCACTGATAGGCAGTAAGCAAGGAAGTTATTTTGATTTCGTCAGAAGATACAGTGCAGTGAGTAGAAGGCACATTCTAATGAATCTCAGCACCAAGAAAAATACCTGGTACTGAGTTGAACTATAACACATGTGTTCAATGAACAAGTGATTTGCAATTATTGCTTCTGAAAGTGCCCAGTGCAAAAAAGTGAAGGCATACTCACCTGGACATCTCCTCCCACTCCTCCAACCATGGGATCTTCTTCTAAAACTTTCACCATCTCCACAGATGAGGCAGGGTCCAGCATGGTGTCTGAATCACAGACCTACAAAGAAGAAAGTAGAAACGTTACTAAAGGAAGAACTCCAAGTGCATTGTCCGTCCTTTCTTGCCCTCTTCCCTTTCATTGTCTTAAATAAGGTGTGTAGGTAACTTGCCCTTCAGGTCTGAATGATGATAGGGACATTTTTTAACAATACTGAAAGTAAACTATGTTTCACAGTTCTTGCCATTTTTTAATATGGTAAATAAAAAATAGTACGAAGAATGATTCTAATGATGTAGCTACACAGTAAGGTGTTAGCTTAGAACAGTTGTGTTAGCTTAGAAGAGAATTAGAACGACCTCAGAACACACTTTTATTCTGCAACTGTAAAATATTCATCCAGGTTACTGGATTTAAGAACATTACTGCTCTTAAAAACAGTCTTCATATGAGGTGGGGGTGGGGAGATGTGTTTCTGAAATCAAACCAGATACGGCTTCAAGACCACGGCTGGAGTTCACCAGAACCAGGATGGCCATTCTAGAGACAAGGCATAAATGGTAAAGCCCTGACAAGATGTTCCTTTGATGAAGGCAGCAGTGACCCAACGACAGAGCATTTCCCTTTGTACCCTAACTTTTAAACCAGTTGAAAAATAACTCAGATGTGGAACCAAAATATTATATTCCTACAGTTGATACAGAGAATATAGCTTACACCTCTGAAGCTGCTTCATAATTCTGTTCCCCAGTCCTATTCAGTCACAAAGAACAAGATAGAACCAGTCTTCTCATGTATATCCAGAGCTTTTCCCATAAGAAATGTCCAGCAGATGGAAAGGAGACCAGAGAGGCTACCCATACTGGTCTTTTCACCCAAACTCAAGAGTAAGGTTATTCTTCTTTGATTAGAAAGAACTGAAACTATTTAGCAAAGGTCCAGATAGACTCTTCCTGTGGAGAAAGTTTCCTCCACATGACTAAAAGACCCAAGTGTAGACAAGAGATACTCAAACCCTGTAAGCTTACTAATCAGATACTGTATTCTTTTCTACAAGTTGCAGCAAGGTCCAAGAGTCTTCCAGGCAACAGCTATAAAGTGATCAGTGCTAGTAGTGATGAGACAACTCTAAATTGATCAAGTATCAGCAGGTAGATGAACTTATCCAGACAAAAAGTGATATGATCTGCTGATTAGTAAAGATCCAGACATTATCTACTATGCTGCAGTTTGGCCTGCCTAAACCAACCAGATTTAACCTACCTAGCTGTGGTGGCTTAATGGTAAGGAATTGGACTGCTAACACATCGTTTGAATCCACCAGCTTCTCTGAGGCAGAAAGATGAGCAGTCAACTCTGGTGTGATTCACTGCCTGAAAATCCACTGGAGTTTCAGATGAGTCAGTTCCAAGTCCACGATACACAACAACAATACACTTCAGAAGCAAATCCACTGTCATTGAATAGATTCTGACTCCCAGAGACCCTCCATCGGGCTTCTGAGTCTATAAATCTTTAAAGGAGACTTCCCATCATCTTCCTCAGGACAGGCTTGACCTTTTGGTTAGCAGCCCAACACATTACACTCAACACATTATACTCTGTCCCACCAGGGTTCTTACCTCCTTATTTCTACCAAACATAACTATGCAAATAACTCTCCAAACTAATTTTACAGAACTCTTTAGAATGAATGTTAAGGTTTTAATGCACCGATTTAAAATGAAAATTAATAGTACAACTTTTTAAAAATCTATTTCCGTTTTAAAAGACAAAAAAAAAAATGAAAACTAAAAAGTACTATTCATATAACCCTAAGGCGCACACTGCTGGTTATACATGTGTGTGAGCCTCTCATGTTATTGTCTGAGAAACTGCAACACTTCTAAAAATTCCTCTCATTTTCATTACTTTTTCTGAAAATGTTGTATATTAATAAAAAATGTTGGTGACAAATAGCAACTTAAATTCTTCATTGGAACTTATGACAAAGTATATGAGCATTTGTTTCTAAATAATGACTATGTCACCCCTCAATACGTAACTAATTAGAGCAAATTTGGGTTTAATTTCAGAATCCTGTCTTTTCTTTTTAGAAGTACACATATCAAATCAGCTTTTGTTATTTCATTTTGGCCTTGCATGGTCTCATTTATTTTAGAAAAAATGAGACAAAAGCTTGACATCAGTTTTTCCTAGTAGAAAATGTTGTTTGTTGTTAGGTGTCCTTGAGCTGACTTGACTTATAGGAACCTCATGATAGAGTGGAGCCACAGATTATTAAATGAGAAACTTTTTGGTCAGGACCCAGCACTTTGCCCTTGTACCAACTACCAGAGTTATTTATACAAAACCACATCCATCAACACTGAATTTATCCAACTCATAAAGATCTTGCATTGGGTTTCTGATGTTGTAAATATGAGAAAAGATTTCATTCTCTCATAGAGTAATTGATGGATCTGAACTGTAAGTCTTTCAACAAGCAGATAGATACATTATGAACCCGATCACCAGGGTACCAATCTGTGGAACTCTGCTAATAATGTACCCAATGTCCCATGTCAGAGGAGCCTGACCAATTCCTCCTGAAAGGATGCTCTTCCATTCCCATGGCTAATCTCTCACTGGTCTGTATATGGCAGGAGCCTTGCAGTGAGGGTTCAGGAAGTGCCAATCCAATCCAAACCACCATTGGTACCAAGCATCCTGAGTGTTTACAGCCACACCCACCTCTATTGACTTAAGCTGAGAAAAGTAAAGCCCAAAAGCTAAAAATAAGACTAACAGCAACAGGAAGGGAGCCATCCAGAATTAACGTTCAAATAACTCCACCTGCCTGCCTTCAAGCACAAGCAGACAAGGAAAACTGCCCCGTGAAATGACTGAAGGGAACCACAGGGCTGAGGTTCTGTGTATATAAGTTGGTGCCCTTTCCTCCTAGTTTCCAAGAGAGCAAATTGCCAGAAGTTCACTGAGAGAGATTGTTCTCAGGGTGGTTTTAGCCGTGTGAGCAGGGAAAGCTCTCAGAAAAGTCTTGGAAAGGGGTTTGTTATGAGGAATTGGAGAGCTTCAAAGACATCCGATTTCTGGAAGCTCTTTGCTGATGGTGCACAAAGTTCTGAAGGCACCGCCATGACACTGTTAAAACACTTGTTCTCATGGAAAACTAACATTCACTGCTATAGAGTTGAAGCCAACACATAGCTGATCCTCAGGAGGTTTTCAGAGACTGTAAATCGCACAAGCCGAGATAGGCCATCTTTCTTCTGTGGAGAAACGGGTGGATTTGAACTGTCTACTTGTGCAGGAGAAAGCCAATTTACTGCCTCTGAAAACCGGCTGGTGGGTCTACTATGAGTCGGTTCCAACTTGATGGTACACAACAACAATAACCACCAGCACCTTTGGGTGGGCAGCACAACTCCCTACCCGCTAGGCCACCAGAGAGAAGAGAAGTCGCTTAGCATGGTAACTCTATAAACAGCTCACTGCCCTCTGGGGGATTCTGATTCCGTGATCCTATAGGACAACATGGAATGGCAAGGGCTTCATGTGCAAGTCGACTGCTTCATTTCTCCCACAGTAACTGGTAGGTTTGAATCACTAAGCATTCAGTGGGCAGCCCAAGACTCAACCCAAAAAGAGCCTAGCTCTTTTTCAAATCAAAAGAGACAGGATTTCTAGCTGTCTCTCCAACAATTACCAGTAAGCCTCTCATTTCTCTGGAACCACAGTTCTTCTAAACCTGTCTTTTCAATGATTTTTTTCAATCACTTGCTATGTATCTGAGAGAAGGACAGTGATTAAGGATGATAGAAAAAGAATTGGTGCCTTTGATCTGTGGTGTTGAAGAGTGCTGACTATCCCAAGCACTGACAAAAGAACAGATGTCTTGGAGAAAGTGCAGCCAGCGTGCTCCCTGGAGGCAAAGATGGTGAAGTGAAGTTTTGTCAACCCAAGGACATGTGGTTCAAATCCACCAGCTGCTGTGGGAAAGACATCTCCTCCCATGAGATTTAGAGACTCTGAAAAAGCACTGGAGGGTCAGCTGTAAATTAGCCCAACTGAACAGCACTTAACAAAGGGTCACTACTAGTTAAGATCAACTTGATGGCAGTGGATGAATATAAGGTGCTACCCGGCTTTCTGACACTAGTTAAGCACATAGTAAGTGGAGAGTTCTCCCTGCTCTCATTCCTCTAATGGAAAAAAGAGGGAAGGGATCAGAACTAAGTCTTCAGCTTGGTTTCCTTATCTAAGCCTTTCCTGAAGCCTTCAAACCTTCATCTCGTGTGAAAATATGGATAACTATCTGTCTCTTAAGTTTTGTAACGATAACTAGACATGGGTAAAAGTGGTCATCTCATAATGATTGCTCAATAAATTAAAGTCAGTTATGGTAAGTGATAAATCAAAACCAGAGATAAAAATGCAAGGCACTCCTCCTGGTTCTCAGACAGAAAGGGTTCTTCCAATTATCACTGCAAATAAAACAGGATTCATCCACACAGCATGAAGCAAAGCTTAGTCCAATACCACGTAAAAAGGTTCCCAACACATAAAAATTCAGCAAGCTGAACTTTAGAATAAGTTTGGGTCTAATTACGTTTCACGTCTGGCATGGAATATACCATTGGAGTACAATGTGTGAAAACTCATCATTTAGCAAAGGGTAGACATGGGGCCTAGAGAAGTTTGCACACATTTGTTGCATCCAAATTTGATTAGGCATCTGTTCCTTGGCATTGAACTTGCTCAATGTGATACTGATTAAAAGAGGGATATAATTTTTCTTTCTTTGAGAAAGAAGTGAATTAGTGTTTTGGTTTTTACTAGTTTTTGGTGTTTCTATCTAGAGCCCTGGTGGCATAGGGTCCTATGGAGAAGGTCTGCTCTGTCTTATAAGGTTGCTAGGAGTCAGATTTGACTCCATGGCCTTGGGTAGACCTTGAGAATTTTTTTAATCTAGTAGAAGAAGGGAGGGAGCTCTACTGGCCTAATGTCAAGAAGCTGTGCTGAAATCCCAAAGGCATGTGGTTCAAGACCAACAAGCTGCTCCACAAGAGAAGGATGGGCATTCTCCCATGCAATTAATTTCTTATCTTTCTTATAATCATTTGATTGAATGGTATAAGATCTCACATTGAGTCAATCAATGAGAACTAAGCAATCAAGAGCTAGTGTATTGCTCTTTAAAAAAAAGAAAAAAAAAAAAGAAAAAAAGAAAAGATGAAGATAGAATCCTTATTTCCCAGAATGCATGGGTTAAAATTATTAGAAAGTAATTCCTGCCCCTGGCCAAGTTAGAATCTCTTCCAAGAATTAAGGTGAAAAGGGGAGCCACTGGTTACCCTTTTCCCCCCTTTAGGAACTTAACCAGGAGGGAAATTTGCAGAAGGTGCCAAGTGGAGGTGACAGTGCAGCTGGAAAAGTGGGAAACCATATGTTGTCACCTTTAAGGCTGAAGCCATGAGACAGTTTTATTCCAAAAACATCATGAAATCCTACAGTGGTGCCTCTTATATCCGGTTTTGTATTCAAGAGCCAAGAGAGGGCAGATAAAAAAAAAAACAAAACACAAAAACAAAACACCAAAACCAAAAAACCAAACCAAAACAAACACCCAAACAAATGAGAAATGCAACTAAAAACTGGAAAGAAAATCTTAATACTACTTTCTGTTTTGATCTCTTTTTCTTTCTTTTTGATCTCATGCTAACAGACACCTGGAATGTCCTCAGAAGAAAATCAAGAAGTATCAAATAAACACCGAATGATGGTGTTAAACTGGGAGATGCCTTTTAGAAACCTCTGCTCAGTTCAATTGTTCGAGGCCCATAGCAAGTAAGCAATGGAGCTGGATTTAGAATTCAGGTTTCTCCACTACCAGTTAAGCGTGTTCATCAATGTATCCTCTTTTTGTAGGGATGCAGAGAAATCGAAACTATTTTCAACCCCAGCCTTCAGAAAATGTCAACTGTTTAGTTTTCCTTTAAGGAGTCATGTTGACAATGATCAAAATGCTCAGTTTCAACCAAAAAGTCCCACTAGCTGCTCATTGAGAGAAAAATGACACAATCAGCTTATGTAAAGATTTATAGAATCAGAAGCCCTGAGGTTCTTCTACTCTGCTCTGTAATCTATGAGTCAAAAACCACTGTCTGATTTAGGGTTTTAAGGGTTCTGGTAGCCTAGGGGTAAGGAGCTGTGCTACCATCCCTTAGGCATGCGGATCAAATCCACCAGCTGCTCCATGGGAGAAAGATGGATAATCTCCAATGTGATTTACTGCCTCTGGAAACCCACTGGAGCGTCAGCTATGGGCTGGTTCTGACTCAACGTAACTACTAACACCATACAGAATGGACAGATCTGCAACAAGGCTGCAGCAATTTAGCACAAGCACAGTAGCTATTGTGAAGATGACACACTCGCAGTGACAGAAAAGGGATCAGTCAAATGTTGAATACATTCTCTGTACCTAGGATGTGCCTGATTCATCACAAAGTTGCCTCCTCTAATCTTCTATTTAAGAAAATGTTCATACTCATTACATATTTTCTACCTATAAAATACCTAACGGATACATTAGGGGTTTGGGTCACATACACTGGTAACTGATTAAGATGTTATATACAGATTCAGTAATAAGAAATATGAATACTGATTTTATCTACGTATCAAAAGACATGTAAAATATATGTATTCTTCTAATATTTCATAAAAACAGTAATAGGATACAAAAGATTAAGTATAATAAAAGACTAGGACTATTTTATAAGTAAAGGGAAAGTTAAAGGGGATCCACTGGAAAGTATTCTATTTTGTCATCTTTGGGAGGGTCACACATTTGTTTCAGATGATTTTAATTTTACTCATCGTGCTGGTCTAAACCAGTTGTCACTGAGCTGAATCCAATGCATGACAACCACATGTGTGTCAGAGCAGGGCTGTGGTTCCCAAGGTTTCCAATGCTGCTTTTTCAAAGTTCAAGATCTTTCTTCCCAAGTGTCTCTGGTTTAGGAGCTGAATATATTACAGACTACCCAAGAATGACATAGGCTAATAGAAATATGTATCTCACTTTTGTGAGAAGTCACCAAGTGCTTAACAGTATGATTTTAGAGTTTTCTCCTCTAATGCAGAGAGATCAGAATACATTCCTTTTTAAATTCTTTCAAATTTTGAGGGTAATGTTGGGAAGTCTCTCTCAAAAAAAAGTTAATTTACAATTAATCTCTCCCCCGCTTTCCTCTTTCTTACTCTTTCATTATTTTTCATTATTTCATTATTTTTCTCCTTTTGTTTCTCATCCTAGTGCTTCTCTGAAAATGGCAATCAGTATCACCAGACACATTTGTCACTGCACTGATTTTTCTCTTAGAAGGCAGTTCATTTCCCTCCTTGTTCCATGTCAGTATTCCTTATTTGAATAGATAAAGTCATTCAACATTCAACATCTAGAGAAGACTAGATGTTAAAGCTTGAGAGAGACTAAGAGGGAGGGAGCAACTGATAAAACTTCATTCCAGAGAAGATAGAAAGAGCAGACCCACAGGACCAGGAGAAGAGGTAGAAAGGTGGCCCAGGGGACAGGAAGTGAAGCTGGGTCACCTTGACACTGTAAGCAGGGGAGAGCAAAGAAAATTGTGACAGCATTGAGAATGGGTCTTATTTCCTCCTCAGCAGGAGGCAAGGTCATCTGTTAGTAGTTAAGGAGGGAGGCATCTGGGCAGGGCCCTGGGAGAGTGGGGAAGCTATGAAATAATACATCATGAGAGCAATAAGACATCCAGTCAAGATCAACTGAAAGTCATGACCAGCTCCAATGACCCAGCTGCAACTGGAAATTAATCATTTTGGCCACTTCTCTGCACAGTTAAGCAGTATTCTCTGTCCAGGTTAGCAGCTATGTGAGCCAACAGCCCATTCCCTTGCTGCATTCTCCATTTCCTTAGTTCATACATGCGAGCTTTGCTTCCTCATCCCCTCTGTCTGCTCTGCAACTTGCAACTTATGAACCTTGGTTCCGTCAGAATAGAAGATCAGAGGACACTGGGTTAAGTCCTTTGCAACTGACACTTTGGCTGGCTAACAATGACCAAAATGTCCAGGGATTTGAAAAGAGCTCACTCACTTGCTACCATCCAGTTGGAAGTGACTCATAGATGACCCCTCCCAACAGCTTTTCAGGCTGTAAATTGCATAAGAGGAGATTTCCCATCTTTCTCCTGAAGAGCCACTGATTACCTAGGACTGAATTTGCACTAAGAAAAGGCCAAACATCTTGAGTAATGAACTTAATTGTGAAAGATTAACAGTCTCGTGAAATTAGAAGAAAATGGGGAGAGAACCTCTACGGATGCTCAAGAAATGAGATTACGGGGAGCTCTGGTGGCCTAGTGGCAAGGAGCTGCAACTACAATCCCAGAGGCTCATGGTTTGAATCCACCAGATGCTCTGCCGGGGAAGGAGGGACAATCTCCTCCTGTACCAGTCAGATCTGATTTGACGGTACACTCACACCCAAAAAATAAAATAAAATAAAAATAAAATTTAAAAAAAAAAAAAGAAAAGAAAAAAGAAATGAGATTAGGATCCAGTTTCATCTGCTAATCTTCAAATGTCAACTAGAATTATGGTGGCAAGTAACAGTATTCTAATTTTCTAGTAAAGACTGAAAAAATTCTCAGTAAAGACAAAATACTCAGTAGCCTCATCTATAAGGAGTAGTGCTGCCATCCCAAAGGCACAGAGTTCAAAGCCACTAGCTACTTCTCAGGAAAGATGGGCAAGCTTCTCTTGTGTGATTTATAGACTCTAAAAACCTACTAGTGTTGGAGAAAGAAAGACAATCTCTCCCAAAGAGCATTACTGTCTCTGAAAACCCTCTGGTCAGTCAGCTATTGGGCAGTTCCAACTCAGCACATAACAACAACAATAATTAAGTTTGAGTCAGCTGACTTCCTTCAGCCAAACTGCCTTCAGGTAGATTCTGAATTCTGATTCTATACCTGCAGAGAAGAACTACCCGAGAACATTATCAGGGGACAAATGAAGAACATGACCTGTCCCTCTCTCCATTTTATGCAAGCAAACAGCATCGCAAATGCTTCCAAAGGTCAAATTGCAGCGGGTGAAGTAATGCTGTTTGGGGAGTGAAGTAAACATTACTCTAACTTTTTGCTCTGAGAAATTTTTTTTGTTTTCTCTTTCCCTCTTTCAATTTTGAACTTTGTTTACCCTTTGAAATAAAAATTGTTTTTACCTCTCCTTTGTGGCCCAAGCTGCTGTAAAACAAAACATTTTCCAAGTATTCTCTCTCAGCCCAAAGACATTCTCAAGACCCCTGTCTGTGGCCAGACACTATTTTCTAACAAGGCCGAAGCTTTTAAGAGTGTGGAAAATGACGCTGGATTTGACTTGGCAGGAGCAAGAGGGCAGGGAAGGTAAAGGGGGGGGAGGGAAAGGCGGGGTCTCATGTTCAAAATAATCTTGATTTCCAACCAATAACACTGCACAAGCTAAGCATTTTCATAGTCTTAGCAGTTTTGCAGGATGTATTTTTTTTTTCTCTCTCTCTTTCAAAATGTGCTTTCAACAGTCATGCTGTTTTCAAATGGTCTGAAAGGACTACTGTGTTCAGACAGGGCAAGGATGGGATATAGCATATTACTGGAGAGATACAAAAGCTGCTTTATATAAATGTATGTTTGCACTGGCAGCAGCTGGGAGACGTACCTGCACATAATCCACACTTCGTCCCAGGGCTCTGAAGGCCGTGTACATGACTTCTCTTTTTCCACCCCACTTCTGCATGATGCAAATACTTTTGTTGGACAAGACCAGTTGCGTTACGTGTAGCGAGGTTTCTTTATGCGACTCCTCTGTCTCCCCGGGACCCTTTTCATGGAAGTTGTTCTTCCAAATATAAGTAGCTGATTTGTCCCTGCCCATAATTTCAGTGAAGATGTCCATCATGTAAAGGTCGTCATCCGAGTTCCCATCGATGACCATGATGACTTTAATCCCAGGGTAGGTGAGCCTCTTCACAGATTGCAAACATTTCCTTAAGTAGGTGGGGTCTTCTTGATAGGCAGCAATACAAAGAGCAACTGTTTTGTTCAACTTAATGGGGGTCTCTAGGGATTTTTTCATTTTCTGGTGCTCCAAAAAGGCAAACACGCTTTGGATGATGAGGTGTGATGCTAAAAAGGCACCATACAGTCCAAAGGAGAAGTAGTAATTATCCGTATAGATAAACTGGTAGCCAATAATATAAGCAGCTGTGAGTCCAAGCAGAACTGAGACTCCGAAAAGCGTGGTTCCAATTATTCTCAGGATGGATAGAAACCTCTCACAATGCATCTGTAAAACAACAAAGCAAAACGTTTGGGTTAACCATTCTTGTGCCCTAGTTATTACTAAACGCATAGTATCATAGTGAGTCCCTTTGATGAGAAAGCAGTCAGAGGAATCTAAACCTGCATTTCTCAATTAACTTTCTATACCTTTGGTTTGCTCATCCACAAAACGGGCATAATGATGCTTTCTTTCACATAGAGTGTTTCGAAAATTAAATTACATGATAGTGCAATAAAATATTAGCAATTACAATATTCAGACATGGTTGTGTTATTGTCAATGGCTTGGATCACTTGTCTAAACCTACATTTTACAGATGTGACGGTAGAGAAAGGAAATGTACTTAACTCCCAGGGCCATCTTTCTTTTTGGATTATCCCCTACTCCTCTTCATCCCTAGTACTGACCAGGGTATAATCCAGACAGCTTTGCTAAGTTTCTAATTCATAATTTCATCTCACCTCTAATGCACACACCTTTTGACTCTCACCCTTTCCACATAGTCATTTGAGACTGGAGATCAGGAAACCTGGATTCTTCCCTAGCTTTTCCACTCACTGGGTTGTGACCTTGGGCCAGTCACTTTACCTCTCTCTCCAGTCTCATGATTCCAATGAGGAGAGAAGGTACCTAGACTCAGCCGTTTGTTAGACGGTCATTGTCAGTTATGTAGACTCATACATAACTGACCCCCCCCAAGTGAATTTCTATGGCTGCAAATCACATGGGAGGAGATCTGCCCATGTTTCTCCCTCAGATTTGAATTCTAGGAAAGCATTTGGGTTAGCAGGACAACTTCTCCAGACTACATCATGAGAGGGCCCTCCCTGCTGACTGGGAGGCTAGAAAACAAAGCAAAACAAAGGTGTGGCTCCACTTGTAACGGCTATAGTACATATTCATAGTACGTAATATGTAAGCCTGATGAATGAAACATAATCACACTGCAAATGAAAAGTTCAGACTCCTGGAGAATGAGGAAAGGCCTCTGAATTTCCAGCTAGTGGGAGAGAGCACAGCATCCCGCATTAATTACCACAGTGGATGGGATGCTAGACGTGCCTCAGGGGCACATTTAACTAATGCATAAAGGTGCTGGGAGGACCAGACTTGCTGCTGTCCTTTCCAAAATGTGAGTCATTCTCACAAGAGTGAAACATTTCAAGGGGACTCAAACACTTTGCCAGGGAGAAGCTTAAGTGTGTGCTTAGCTTGTCTTTAAAATCATCAGCACCAGTAAAACAAGGACCTGCCATTCTTTTCCATTATTCACATTTTCCCTGCTTTTATCAGCACACATGGACAGAGTGAAGGCTCAACATAGCATCTGCTGGCCACAGCTGGAGTGGGAACGCCCTCTTACATCATAAGCATCTACAGAATGTCCTTTCAAAGCTCAGGAAAATTGACCGGCAAACTGCAGCAACATGGCTAGAATTGAGCCTCTAGATTTCTGCAAGATAGCTCATCGCTGCCTCATCTGACACCCACAGCCTTCTCGTCACAGGGCAAAGGGCAGAACGCACGTTTCGGAGGCAGCTTTGCAAAGGGAATACCCTGATCCCAGAGAGTGACACACAGGATGTGTTTCTCCGTAATTTCCCCCTGGCGAGTTCATAGATATGGGCACCATATGTGTTGAACTTTCTCAGACAATCCCCGATTCAAATACTGTGTTTTCATAAGCACACTCTCCTCGTCCGACATGTGGCTTTGTTGTTGGGGAAAATGGTTCATGCAGTCCTAGACCATGGAGCTTACTGCTCCAGAGGGAGAGGATTTAGAAATCGACATCTCATGAACATTCAATATATAAAACTTGCCGGGGGGTTTTGCTTCAATATGTTAGCCTATTAACTGAGTTTTAAATTGCTATTGGACTTTATGCCAAGTATTCAAACTATTATTCTCCATAGAATTTTCTAAGCAAGTGTTACAGAATGGGGCTAAGAACCATCATGTAAGCTTCAGAGTCAGTGATTTAGGCGCTTCTGATGTTGCACCCTGAGAATGTAAACCATCACCTGGATTATGGTTGGTTCTCAATAAAGAATGAGAATGAATGAATGTAACTTGACTTGTTATCATAATATCAAATTTACTCAGTTCATTCCTTGGGAGGAAGGTGAGCAATCTCCCCACGTGATTTACAGACTTGGAAATCCAATGGGGGATCAGCTATGAGTTGGTTCCAATTTAATAGCAAAGAGATGAGAGAGAGGAAGAATTAGATTTCAAATAATAGAGCATGTTTTACTTGCCTTCTTAAAAAGAGCATAATCTTACTTAACTTTAAATATTTTAAGTGGCAAATGTAGATTATGAATGTTATTAATGTACAAGTGACCTACACATGATACAGAAACTAAGATTTCAAGTGTTGAAGTAATTTGTCCCAAAGTCATAAAACCAAGAGTAGAAACTACAGTAACATACTGCCAGATCATCAGGGCTCTCTCAAATATTTGCTGAATAGATTTGAATCCTCAAGACAAAATAAGTGGCATTCTTGTTCTTGAGGGGCAGATACAATGTCACCTTGGTAGGGGAAGATAAAGCGCTCATAGACTCCAGGGAGATTCTAGGAGTCTTTAGATATCAGGCCTCTGGCCTCCTCCTTGACCTAGTATTTACCCCAAGGCAAAGTGCTGGGTAAAAGAAAGATAGTTTCTCAACCTGCCCTACTCCAGAAGTGGGACCTCTGTTCCCATCTCTTATGTCAAGTGATCCTTTAGGATCTGGGGAAACATAAAAGGGCATTTGGATTAGCTCAGGCAGCCTCTTCTGAAGCCTGAGATAAGATCTAAAGATCCCTCTTCAAAGCTTATCTCTCACTCCCTTCTAAAGTAATTCCTCCTCCCTGCTCTTTTGACTCCTGCCACACCTTTTTCTTGCTCTATTTGCATGTTCTCAGTATGAGCTCCAGTGGCCCTAGTGGCAAGAAGCTGCCCTGCATTCCTACACATGGTTCAAGGCCACCAGCTGCTTCATGGGAGAAGGAATGGCAATCTCCTCCCTAGTGACTGACTCTGAAAACTCAGAGGGTTAGGTACACAACAACAACCTACACTGCTCCATGGCCCCAGGACATGGCTGACTCAACTCTATCCTTGTACCAAACACATGGCCAGGCAGAGTTGAAAGTCAAGAAATACCTTCTGCATGAATAAACAAGCCTAGCAGAAGGCTTCAAGCTGGATCCATGCTCTTTGATCCAGGAGTAATGCTTACACGCAGAGGATCCACCTGGTCCTGTCTAGCATTTTTTCTCTTTTAACCATCTGATTAGCAGTTGATTCAATTAGAATTACTAACTTTTAGATTAGTAGTTGAGCATGCTGACTCTCTCTAAATTTAATCCTACTGTTTATTTGATCTCACTTTGAGCCATTCAGGAGAATCTAGCTTCTGGGAAAAGGTCTTAGGGTTGAATCCTGGTTCTTTCATTAATGGCTAGATAACCTTGAACAAGTCACATGATACCTGTGTTCTTCACTTGAGTTTCATCATCTATATAAAATAGAGCTAATCACATTCACAAACATGATTTTTTTTAAAAAAAGAGTCATACATACATATATGTAGTTGTATGCGCTAGAGATGGAACCAACTCATAGCTGACCCTCCGGTGGACTTTGAGGCAGTAAATCATGCAGAGAAAACTGCTTTCCTTCTCCCATGTGTTGTTGGGACTGTCATACAGTTGCAATATATTTTTGAGGGTGATACACACACACACACACACACACTTGCTAGTTACTCCCTCTGATCTCTTCTTGTCTGACTCTGAAGTTTGTTTCTCTCCATTCCCACTGATGTTACCCCAGCAGAGGCCTCGGAGCCCAGTTTACAAGGTTTAAATATTAGCCCCGCTATGTCTGGACCCAGAGCTTCCGGTTTCTGATTTCTCTCCCTCTGCATCAATATTAATCAATTGATCCCAAGATGTCACTTCTCTCCACTGTCTTCCTGGCTCCCGAACGGTAGCATTCTAGATACAGTTCATGGTGTGAAAAGGTGCAAAGATCTGGCACAGAGTCTTAGTTGCCTGCTCTTGGGTACTATTCAGAGTAACACCTTAGCAGCTATAGGTACTTCCTGAAACCTTTCCTGATCAACTTTTACTGACCTTTTTTTTTACTGACCTCTATAAAATGTGATTTCTTAATTTGAACTTGCATAAAGTTAGCTCATCTAAATATAGCTTAGATCTGTTCAAGGGCATTCCATTTAAGAAATATTCTATTAAATTCTGTTCTCATCCATAATGAACACTGTCTGTGTAAGCTTTATACTACACCCAATGCCACTGAATAGGTTTCAATTCATAGTGATGCTCCATCCACTTTCTGAAGCTATGATCTTTATCAGAGGGAACTGTCCAACTGTCTGTTTCAGAGAGGCTGCTGGCTTCAAACTGCCATCCTCTCACTTGAGAGCCCAGTTCTTGACAAACTGTGCCATGTGGGCTAAAGTTTTTTATAGGATCTTAAAAATGTGGCATCAGTGTCAGAGGAAGACTCATCAACAATCTGTTCTGCAGATGACACAACCCTGCTTGTTGAAACTGAGGAGGACCTGAAACACTTGCTGCAGAAGGTCTACAGCCTTCATATGGATTGAAGCTCAACATCAAGAAAACAGATTCTCAGCACTGGGCCAATCAGCAGCATCATGATAGATGGTGAAGATTGTGACTCAAAAGAGATTTTGTTTACTTAATTTCAAAATCTACACTCTTGGCACCAGCAGCCAGGAAATTGCATTTAGAATTGCATTTAGACGAATTGCATTTAGAAAGTCTCCTGTCAGAGACCTCTCCAAAGCACTGAAGAGCAACAAAGTCAGTCTGGAGACTAAGGTAGGCCTGATCCAGGCCATAGTTTTGCAATTACGTGCTATGCAGAGAGCCGGGCAATGACTAGGAAAGACAGAAAGACAATTGATGCCTTTGAGCTGTGGTGCTGGAGAAGAGTATTGAATAAACCATGAACTGCTAAGAG